AATAATAATAATATAGTCAGTTCTAATTTAAGGTGATCCTATTTAGGATTTTCCAAGTAGAGAGTACAGTATTCAGAAGTGGTTTAACATCCCCTTTACACATTGGCATGTTTGGTACTGGTTTACGCCTTGTGTCATTTAGACAGAGGGGAAAATACCAATATTGCCAGTGTGCATAAAATGCAACTAATGCTCCCTCTGATTAAGATCTGTCTCTCACACACAGTTCCCAGTTTTCACCAAGAAGAGAAAACTGAAAGCGGTATATATGCGGTTCATAACTAGGAAAAGTGACTGTCTTTTTTGCTATAACCACCAGAATCCCATGGTCAGTATGCTTAGTGGCCATGTTGGTTGGAGGATTCTGGGAGCTGTAGCTCAAAAAGTAACTTTCCCAATTCTTGATCTCAACTGACCGATTGGACCCATGATTGTGCCTAATACAGGGCCTTGTTGGCATTTGATTCTCTTTTGCCCCATCAGCTCCGAGATGTTGCTTTTTTCTCTCTCTGTGCACACAAAAAAGGACCCCCTTTGGCTTGTTTTAAGCAGCTTGGTTGCATCTAAATCAAAGTAGCAATGATCTAGCTGGCTTTCATTTTGTGTGCACAGAACAGGGAGGTTTTCCCAGTCCGGCCTGCTTATCCTTGTCTCTGGCTGTGTCTCAGCTATCTTCCATTACCCCTTGCTAGTTGCTCCATGTCATGCCTGGCCAGCCTTAAATTAGCAATTGCTTGTTGCCACATTTGCTGGAGTGGAGGGAGGGTGACCTGCAATTGCTACCTCTTCATTGGATCTGCTATTCTTGCTGTTGTGTGTTTCCACACTGAGGTGGGGTAAGGATGGCTCGGGAAGGGAAATAAAGCTGTGGGGAAAGAACAGGGTTCTCATAAAGATAAGCATTTCCTCATTAAGGTTTTTGACAGTGAGGCTAGCATGCCTTAAACCAGGTGAGTGAACATCTCAAAGGTCTTACATTTCCCCCCTGCTACCTTCTCTGAGACCGAAGCCCATGCGTGTTTCGCAGGGAACAAATCCTATTGAGAACACTTCATTTCTTTCTGAGTAAATACGTTTAGGATCAGATTTTAACTTAAGCCAAATTTGATGTTATTATTCCTAATATTTTTAAGAAGAATAAAGTGTTTGCAGGATTGTGGGGGAACCATAATACAGGCATTATTTTAGGTTCCAGTTAGAGAAATTTGGAGTCGCCCATTGGGTTTGCCTCACAGGAACCACCGTTCCTGCTCCCTTGTGCTAAGAGGGGGAAAGAACAGCTTTAACAAACAAGCAGTGCAGAGGCCTGGAATGAGAGACAGACCTCTTTCCCAATGTTGCTAGACTACTGAGTCCCATCTGCCCATATAGTTTCAAGGACGATAGGGCCATTAGCCCCACATCCGCTGGAGGAGCCTGTTCTTCTTTTCTCCTAGAGTGGGTCATTCTTGCAAAGCTTGTCAGCCTACTCAGATGTCCAGCAAAACAGAAGAAAAAGCAAAAAGTCTTGTACATTAGAGATGAACAGATTTATTTCAGTTTATGCTTCCGTGGATTACAGTCTACTTCCTCAGACGTATGGAATAGAATATTTATTTAGCCAAAGCTTTATATGTAATTTAAGTTTATACACAGTTTACCTGATTGTGGGGAAGAGGGCCGCTAAAGAGGAATATAGGCACAGATAAAGAACCTTCAAAGCCCTGGATACAGACATTAACATCTTGGCAATAGATAAAAGAGTGATTTTCAGACCTCTAATGACTTCCAGTCAGCAAGTCTGCTGTAACCCCACACATCTAGAGAGCACAGCATTAGGGAAAGGCTCCATCTCATCTCCCTCTGCCCCATAAAAATATATGCCAAGTAGGGTTGGAGGGCTTCTCAAATGTTGTGGAGGGGCATCGTGCCCCCTTGCAAATTAACTCCAGTGATTGAGCCCTGCTTACCCTTTCCATGAGAAAAATCTGTAAGAGCTCCATGAGAGATTTACAAGTGAACCATTTCATTTTTTGCTTTTTCATTTTGACTTTCAGTATAGGTATATGGAGACAGTACTGTATGTACTTGGACAGAATTTAAGTATGGAAGAATATTCAGAACAGTGTCTGTGTGCTGCTGCCCAAGGAAAAGGAAAAATACCCTCCACCCCATTGTGCCATCCCAAGATCCACAGTTTGAAGACTGCCTTCTAGGCCAGGCCATGCACCTCCGGTGCTTGTCTTAAAGAGCTGTGGGGATATGAAATATGTTTAACCTTGTACCCCCCCCCATAAGCAATGTATTCCCTCTGCCATCACTTGGTAGCAACCAGGAAAGAGCAGAGGGGAAAAAGACCACTTCTTGCTGTATGAGTCCTGCACCCACCTAGTAAAGCTACATTATTCACACAGGGGCGTATGGCGTCACCTTCCCCTGCTGCAGACCGGAATGACAGCTTTAGTTTGTGATAAATCTGCAAACAGTTCCTCCTTTCTCCCCAGCTGCCCTCCATGTAGTATTTGTGTCCCTCCCTCATCTTGCATATAGAAAAGAGCACATGTTTAGGAATAATGTTAGAACTGCAGAGTTGGAAGGGACCCTATATAGATCATAAAATCCAGCAGCCCCTGTCAAGGAGACACCGTGGGGAATCGAACTCCCAACCTGATTTTGGCAAGGGCCTACTCAAGGGTGTCCCTCTTACTGCACTGTGGACTCTTGTCCTATCTATCAATTGCTCTGTCCCTCACTCTGTTTTCTCTTTTCCCTTTTTATAGAAAATATAGAAGAAAAGAAGAGGAAGTAAACCTTTGGGTCACCAAGGAAATGACCTCTTCATCCCTTAACCATGAAGATCTCCCCACTTTCCTTATGCCACTGCCATGTCTGCTGCTCCCACCTCTGCTTCTGTGCCTTTCCCTTATTTAATAGCCATTTTCTCCCCCCCCCCCACACACACACCTTTGTGCCTCCTTCAACAGGGACTTACCAGTGTGGGCCATGACGCCGGCATTTGCCATGCCGTTTCCCGCCCATCTGCTTCCCTCTCCTCCCCAGACACCACTAGCTACTTGGCTTCTGTACATTTTGAGCCACCTGCCCGTCCTTGCCCCCTGCACACACACCTTATCCTGGCCGCTTTCTACATTAGTACCTCCATTAACTATGTTCACCCCCCACACACACACACACACTCTCCTCTTCACATGACTAGAACCCACCTCAAGCCAGGGGTTGGATTTTTTAATGCACACAATAAACAGAAAGAAACATTTTGTTAGAGAACAACAAACAAGTGAAATTCCTCAACTTGGAGGAAATTAAGAGATTCTTCTAGCTGCTTATTTATTGATATTAAAGAATAAACTCTTAACTGTAACAAATGCTTCTGGTTTTTCTTCTGATACTTGAGTCTAATGGAGAGGCTAGGGATGGTTGAAGCTGAAACTAGAATAACGGTGATGTCAGAATGTCAAAACTTTACAGTGATAGAACTTCCCCAGCGGCCCACAATAGGTAACACCCCATTATATAATATTGATTGCAGATGAACATTTCTGTTGATAAATTATTAGACGCCCCCTTTCCTTAACATGCTACATTACTAATCTCTGATGGGAAAAATGCCATCAGAGATAAAAGGAAACATTGCCCTTACCCGATCTTTCATCTATATTTGGATCCAGGATCAAAGTGGATCCATCCTGAGGGCTTCTCCTGCGATCCCCCCAAAAATCCCTCCCACCCCCTCCAACATTGTGCAGGTGTTCCATCTGTGCCCTTCGGAATGGTGTTCTTTTAGAAAGAAAAAAGACAGATGTGGTGAGGAAAGAAAGCTGATGTCACCAACAGCAATAGGCAAGGCTTTATTGCAGGCACCCATTTTGAAGAGACCCTTGTCCAGCACACAGCAATAGGCAAGGCTTTATTGCAGGCGTTGCATCATGGCCTCTCCCATTTTGAAGAGACCCTTGTCCAGCAGGCCGAGGCAAAGAGGAAGTCACAAAAGCAGCAAAATCAGGGAGCTGGACAGGGGACAGATTGGATTTGTCTTCAGTGTGGAAGGGATTGTCACTCTCGAATTGCCTCCTCAGCCACACTAGACTCTTCCAAGTCCTCCATACAGAGCACGTTACCATAGTCTTTCGAGAAGGATGCCTAACCTAACTAACCTAACCTTCCCTCATACATAATATTTTATAGGAGCTTCATAGATCTTGTAATCCTCATCCCCCCCATGGCACATAATATAACCTTGTTTCCACTTGTTTCCTATTATTTTTTCCATAACATGGGGCCCTCCGTTATTTTTGTACTGCCTTTTCTAAATTTCTCTTTACTTTTTCTACATCCTTTACTGTAGAAAATTCATTAAGAATTTAATTAATAAATGGGTTAACTCTGAGGAGATTTCCTCCTCGTTGTTACTCTTAATGTATAACTATATGGGTTAGATTTTAGCAAATGTATTAATGTTCTAAAATAGCCAATGTGCTTTCTTTATATGGTGTAATATAGCTAAGCCCTAGTATATTGTGGGTAACAACCATTCTTTATAATGTGTGAAGGCACGTAGGCGTTCTTGCACCTTTTTTGGTATGGAGAAGCCCTCATAAAACAATAAACACAAGCATACTATTCTTTGAGTAAACAGGCCAAGAATACCCTTGCCTGAGGAGATACCAGATAACGTCTGTCTATCATGTTGAGCTGACAGGCCAGATGCCAAAGAGAAATTTCAGCTTGGGTGCATCCTGTGTTTATGATGTTTCATGTAACTGTCTATAAAAGCTACCCTATGCACTCTGGAACTTGGACTTCTCTTCTGATATAATTTGGGTACTTTATTCAGAGGGCAAAGGGGACATTTGCCCAGGGCCCACGGTCTGTAGGGGGATGGAGTCCCCTGAGCAGCAGCAGCCGCCACCGGCTGGCAGCTGTTGGAGACTGCGAGGGCAGAGCTGGCTGAGGCAGTGGTGCAGTGCATGCAGGTAGTGCTTCTGGCCAGCAAGCCGTGGGGAGCTGTTGGAGACTGTGAGGGCACAGCTGGCTGGATGGTAGGCAGCGCGGTGCTCAGCGGTGCCGTTGGGGTGGCTGATCTTCCTGTGCCAGGTGGCATCGCTGCGCAAGCGGGAGGCACACCTGTGGGAGGTGCTGCTGGGCAGCACTGCCCGGCAAGGAGGAAGGTGCCCTTCTGCACCTCAGGGACCTGCTATCTCCACCCCTGGCCACCCCAGTGCTGTTCTGGAGCTCAAGCACCTCAGCAAGACCCACCTCTCCCGAAAGAGATCAGATGAGGAAGGGGGGGTAAGGCCAGCCAGGACCTGTGACACACTCTGCTTAGGCTCAGAGGCACTCCTCCCACCAGCATCCTCAGTTGGCTGGGGACGGCAGCTGTTCCTTCAAAGTGCCTGAAGCCCTCCACCTCCTCCTGCACCTGAGCCCAACATCCTGTGACCCCACTTGACAGGCAGCTTCCCTCCCTCCCTTCCATGTGGGACCTGCCCTGGATTGCACCCTCAGCATGTTCTGCACACAATGTGCACAACTTTTCCTCTTCTCTGGGCACGTGCAGAGTGTCTCAAAGCTCAGTTTTTGGCTTTCCTTGCCTCGTCCCTCCCTCATAAGGGAGACTTTCTTTTCATTGTTATGTTGCTTATTTACCTAAGCATTGTTTACTTTTTTACTGCAAAATTTCTTAGCAAGTCAGTCTTATTTATTGTTCATGTTGAGTGACCTATTTAAGTGAGAGGTAAGGCATGGGAGGGGCAGTAATATATTTTTTTGCCCAGGGCCCACCACAGCCTTGAGGGCCCTGCCTGTATGTATTGATTTCCCTCCCTAGCATTAATAAACTCTTGATGAAGATCTCTATATGCACATGTATGGCCTCCCTGACCCCTCTCTCAAGCCATTTATCTTCTCAGTCCATAAGAAGTACATCTTGGTCATCAAATGTCAGGGGTGGAGGCCTTAGATACAATCTTTCTCCTATTTGTCATGCTGCCCTTTCATCCATCCCCACAAAGATTAGGATCACACACACCAGAAAGACCACTGTTAATGACCCATTAATGGCCCATGACAATAGGCGGAGAAGGACTGCAGAAGTGGGATTATCCCTCACCCCCAGGCCTTTCCCCCTAATAAGGAGCCTATTCAGACTAGGTGGAAACAAAACCAAGGCGGAAGATATACAGTACAGTATCAGGGATTTCCCACCAACTCTCCTCAGACTGAAGAAGCTACTTGGATGAGTAGCAAAAAGTTTTGACTTAATAAGAAAGAAGTCCACTTGCCACGACTCAACTTTCAGATAACCTCACCTGGATGATTGAGAATCTTCACAGGTATACCTCCAGGAGAATGGCTACATTTTGTACACTGTGAATCAGGCAAAATAAAACAGCTGACTGGTTACTGTGGGTTGTGGGAGGGTTGTCCGGGAAGTTTAGAATGCTCTCTTATTTTAGCTTGATCTCATATTGATGGATGGATCTCCCCGCCAATGTGGTTGCCACTTCCAGATGTTGCTATATTATTAAATCCTGTGGTCTGGATAGACAACCTCTCCTTTCCTTTGAATGCCCGATACTTACTTACTTACTTACTTACTTACTTACTTACTTACTTACTTACTTACTTACTTACTTACTTACTTACTTACTTACTTACTTACTTACTTACTATTTGGCCTTTATACCACTCATTTAGATGAATCTACCCTGGGCGGTTAAGGCACACCTTAAGGCAGAGGTTGTTAACCCCCAGTCTGCAGCCCAGTGCCGGTCCGTGGCCTGAGCCGGACTGTGAAGACAGACCTCCCCTCCACACACACTCCCCCCAGCTACTTTGTGCATGTGCATGCGTGAGCGCTCCCCCATCCCTTCACGCATGCACCTGAGAAAGGATGGGGGGCGCACACAGAGGCTTGCGGGGCACTCCAGTGCATGCACAAAGGGGTGGGGGAGCAATCGCATGCATGCTCCCCACCGCTTTGAGCATGCGCCCGAGAGCGAGCACACACCTGTGCAAGATCACGCATGCTCCTTCACGCAGGCGCACGAGGGTGGGGTGGATGCCCGCCTTCCTCAGCCGGTCCACGGTCCCGAAAAGGTTGGGGACCGTTGCCTTAAGGCACATCTCTGGTGAATGATATTACGTTGCAGTTATGTCCTGTCAAGGCACCTCCAATGTATGGCAATCCTATGGATGAGTGATCTCCAAAATGTCCTGTCTTCAACTGTGCTGCTCACTTCTTGTAAACTCAAGCCTGTGGGTTCCTATAGAGAGTCAAGCAATCTCATATTTGGTCTTTCTCTTTTCCTGCTGCCTTCCACCTCGCCCAGCATTATTGTATTTTCCAGAGAATCCTGCCTTCTCGTGAAGTGCCCGAAGTCGGACAACCTTAGTTTCAATATATTTGCCTCCAGAAATAGTTCAGGCTTGATTTGACCTTGGACCCACTTGTTTGTCTTTCTGGCAATCCAGGATAGGTGCAAGGCTCTCGTACAGCACCACATTTCAAATTAATTTCAGTCAGCAGCTCCACAGTGCCTTCTAATTGCTAGTGTGAGGAGTTTCCCCTCTCGACATGCCCAGAAGCTTCCTGTAAAACTGAACGCACAAAGTAAGACAATAAGGAAGCTGTCAAACTGTCTCTTAATGTTGGCACCAGGGGAATTATTTCCTTAATTTAGTCGCTGACTGCAGCATAATTACATGTTCTGATGGGATGTGATGGTTTCAGTATTTCTTTAAATAAATACTTGAAAACACAGTCACTAATCAAATAAAGGGAAGAAATTGACTTGGGACATTTACCCTTACTCCAGTTCAAATTTTTTTTTTTTTTGTTAAGAGTTCAATGTCCTTTATGTCAATACTGGATTAAGAGAAAGGAAGAGCAATATAAAATGTTGTTTTTCTGTGTTTTTAGTCGTCTGAGGCCCACCACTGGAGAAGATGAAAATGAGTGTGCCATTCTGGCCTGTTGGGAACATACTATGTGATCTGGGAAGTCAAAATATTTGGCCAATTGTAGGATAATTCTGAGGATGTTCTACATAGGAAGCACTAATTAGAAAAACTAGCAAACACCCCCCACCCCCATAGATGACAAGGTAATCCTAAATGAGAAAAACTTGTTTTTCATTGTACAGTAATCTTTGTAGACATGTTATTGACTTTGGCCATGGAATCAGCAACTAATTCAGCAGAATACAAATCACTTCTAGGACACTGCATACTGTATTTACACTTCAAAGACAACCTGTGCAAGATGGTTAATTATCCTAGCTATGTTAGGATATTTAAGTAATGTACACTTTCAGAGCTCATTAATAATAACAATTATCTGCAGTCAAGTTGATTCTGACTCATA